ATGATGAAGCAACTGCACCGAAGACAATTAATGTCTGTAGGGGAGCAAGGCTCTCGGTGACAGACTAGTAACCGCTCTGTCATATGACTACCCTTAAAGAAAAGCACTTACAAACTTATGAACATTTATAACATCTTGTTACTGATGATGGTACCCATCTGCACTTTTTCTGCTGTCACTGTATGTCATCAAGCCCCAGATGCTCATTGGTTCTTTCTCATGGGAATCACTGCTTTGCAAGCCTGCAAGAAACTCTCCATGGCTCTTTGCAACAAAGTGAATGATACCAAGCTCCTTCCAGACCTGTCTGGGTGATGCTTATCAAAGGGTTACTCATACCGATCTTGCCTGTACTAGAAATAGTGTCCACTCCTAGTACGAGGCATCAGGACTGAGTGCGGCTGGATCCACGGAGCTTCTACTTCTATTAACTTTGTTCAAACTGTATCAGAAGCTGATTTTAAGCCCTGCAGAATTAATACAAGCTTTTTCAATTAGGGGTTATAGAGACCTGTGAGGTCATGCTGGTGCCATTTTGCTAGTGCTTATGCTATTTAAAAATTGTATTGTAGATCAAATTCGAAGGGACTCAAGACAAATCAACCTTGTACAGGTGGGCCAAGTTATCTGGTATGCATCCATAATGTAAACCCTGAGAAGAGCAGAGATCTTTTTTCTCATTACAATAACAGCAATAGAGAAACTATGGCTTTAGGATAAACCTGTCAGGTTTCACCACTGCAGGGAGGTAAGGAGAACAACACCTTCATCCTTCCAGCAATCCATGCAAACAGGAAAGCAAAGACTACAGAGCAGAAGAGGCTGAAGGGAGGATCTGGGTTTAAGGAGGAAGCAGATCAAAACAGGCCTAACAGAGAAGCACTGAGTGTCCTGCAAATATTTGCTTGATGAGGCATGGGAAGGCATAAAAGCAGTCTGAAAATTTGAGTATTCGCCATCTTCAGAAAGAGAGAAGGGGAATCAGAGTGCAGGTATTGCTCTTTTCTTTCTGGCTCTGCTGCCAGAGGGCCAAGAAAGGTCATAGTTGTAGATGAAGCTGCTACTTTCCCCTGTCTCCAGGGGATGTGGGCAACCTAGCAGCTTCCCTGCATTGCTTTCATTTTAGTACAGCTCCTTTTAGAAGGTCTGCGGACTGTTCTTGCCTGCCCTTGCCTTTCCCTGCATACTTTTTGCAGGAGGAATGGATCAGCTTTGCTTGACATAACTTTGATGTCTGCTGCCTTTAAATCAGCTTCAACTGATCAGAGATTTAAGGGGCAGCAGCTGAGACACTGCTTAGCTTCAAGTATGGCTGGACTTGTTCCGCGACTTGAAAAAGGTGGTGAATGTGTTTTGCTCTCTGGGTGGCAGAATACCATGCATTAAAGGAGATAGAAAATAGGTATGTGGGAGGAAGCCCTTACTCCAACAGTTAATACACCTAAATGTGAAGAAAGATTTGATGTCAAAGTACATCTGCTGCCCATGGTTTGATGCAGTCAGCATGACATGTATTATTAAACCTCTGTTCCAGCTGTTGTGATCACCTAAGTTTCCATAATATTTTTTTCTGGCTGCTGCTGCTTTTGAAATTTACTGCTTCTGACATGGAGGAATATTTTTTTCCAATGTGTGAGTGAGCCTGCAGGATGGTAGTGTTGATAGCACACAGCTGACCACCATGCTGTGCTGAGAACTTTAGTGCAGCAGAATTTCAACTCCTGGCTGCAATGGTAGTTTGAAAGAAAAAGATCAAACTGGACAGCTGTCATCAAATCCTCTGATTCATAATTCCTACAGAGATTCTAATTCTAGTCTACTCTTCTCTGTTATATAAAGGGTTACCTACATACTTTCCCCCTTGTATTTAGACAGCAGGTATGGATTAGGCTTGCTAAACAATAATCAGCTTTCACTAGTTTAAAATTAACTAAAACAGTACTAGATTTTTTTTCTCTCAGCTGGTGACAGTGGGGCTCAGAAGGTGTCTGGAGGAGATGGCTCAGGCAGGGTGAAGAGGGACATGACCTGAAACAGGCTGTTTCGTGTGCCAGAGGCATGGTGTCAAGTCCACCCTGGATGAGTTTTCCTGGCCTAGCGTCGCAGCTGCCAGGATGGCTCTATGGGAGAGGTGAAGTCTGGGCTGTGATGGAAGGGAGGGATGTCATTCTGGAGAGGATGGGAAATCATGTTCTAGAGCTGGTGGAGGGCCAGCAACAGCTGGTGTCCTGTGCCACTGCCGCCGTCCTCACCCTATTCCCCTAAACAGAATTTCCTGTTGGCAATCTCCTCCCCTCTCCTATACTGTGCTGACAGTAAGCAATTTATTTTGAGCTGCAGTTGAAACAGGTATGTTGGGGATTTTAAGCCCCTGCCCACTGCAGTGGGTAAGGACACCAAGGGGCCTTCGCCGCCTTTGTTTCCTTTGCTCCCCTGCTAATGTGCCACGAGTTCCAACATTTCTGACAGAGGATGCTGTACCACAGCTAGACCGAGTGTTTCTCAGTCCAGTCGAAGGCTTGCACTATGATCTCACCCTTATCCTGCAAGCCCATGAAGACGAACCATGTTCTTGTTATATGACCTGATGCTTTGTCAGTGTGTCCTTTTAGCTCCGTGTAACCACACTGGTATCACTGACCATGGGCTCCATGTGCCAGCAAAAGGAGGCTGGAGCCTGTGTGTGCCCCAATGCAGCTGCTCTGTGGGGTTGAGGACGTTTGATCTTACTTTGTCTCCTTTAATTAAGTTGATTTATTTTGGTTTTGTGTTTAGGTGTGGGGATGTGTTTTAACACGCCTACTATCTGGAACCCTATAGTGTAACTACAGCATGTATCTCCAGACTTGGGTCACACTGGGTTTGGATTTGGCAGCATATTTTTATTTTTTGGGGGGCAGAGCAGCAGCTGAAGTTTTCCCTTTCCCACCATTGGGTGGCTGTACCAACGATAACCTCCTGAAAGCACAACTGAGATCCATTTTTCCTGTTAAAACAGCAATTGTGTAATAGTTTACAGCATAGCACAAAGCTGTGCTTAGTGGGCAACACTCATATTCTTGGTTTCTTCTGTTGGCCAAGTCATGCTGGGAGAAGTAATGTAAAGGCTAAAAACCTCCACAGGGTGTGGAAGGCCTATCTGTGTGAAGCATCTTTGAATCTCCTTTTAGACAGCACTAAATAGTAGAAGGCTGTTTTCCTTTTCTAGCATCAGGGGGAGCACAGCTGTTAAGTGAAAGAGTCTACATGGTAAAAAAAAAAATGGATACAAACAGAAAAAGAAGTTCTAAACCACATGAGTCTAATTTAAACCCTTTCCCTACGTTATGATCTGTTCATAATCCTTGTGCCACCAGTAACAAAGCTTCTGCAGATACCCAGGATTGTAGGACCTTGTTCTCAGAGACATCAGGCAAAGAGGAGTAGAAAGGGACAATCTGATAATTTTTCAGTTACCTAGAAAGAAGCAAATATAACTGAGTGGCATTAGCAATTGTTGAAACCTTGTTTGGCATTCCAGAGGCCTTGTCAACAACAGCGCTACCACCACCATTCAGGAATGCTATTACACCACCAGGATTGTCTCTGAGATGTTGCATTTTATAGACTACACTCCTTTGTTTTAGCTTCTGGTGATGTAACTGGAGATTGTACACAGGGCCTTGGCTACAGAGGAAGAGTCTTCTCTTGTTCTAAGCCCTCAGCTCTGCAGATTGGTTTTGTTTTGTACTTTGGTAGGAATGTTGCCCAATAAGCTGTGTGGCAAAACCTCTCTGCCCCCAGCCAAAATCGCAAAATTCCTATTGATTTGCTTGGAGCTAGGATTTCACGTATGGGCTCAAAGTTCATTGGCCCATGTAATTCCTCGGCCTCTACCTCTGCTGGCTTGTGCTTGCTTTCTCCGCTCATGAAAAGTACCTTATTTATCAGTTCTCTTTAAACCTCTAAAGATAATTCCTGGCTGCTCTGCGGTCAAGGCTAGCAGAGTCAGTCCCTGTATGCATAAAAGATACCAGATAATGACATTTAGGCCAAATATTCTATCAAGGATATTTTACTTCATATGTTTTTCCATGACTCAGCACATACTTTAATCATTGGAATGGACAGGCTGATTGATTGCTTGGCTGATTCCTCTAGATTCAACACTTTAAAATAAATGTTCAAAAGTTTAACAGTTACATAATCTTGGATCTGAAGCTGTTCTCTGCATGTTCTTTGGAAGCCAGAAGTCCAAGCTGGGGCTTGCTGCTTTGTTGGAGAACAGAGCAGATCTCCTAAGAGCTGACAAGGACGTGAAAGCCTTGAGAGACCAAGGGGGAAGCACAGTAGTTTGGTTCAGCTGATTGGGTTTCCAGTGATGTCACCAGCTGGTCCTTGTTGGTGTTACTGGCTTGGTTCTGTCAGGTTCACAGGAATGCTCTGCATCCATGCATCTCCATTCTGGACACGTTCCATTCCCTTCCTTAGGAATATACTGGCATTAATATTGCCAGGAGAGGTGAAGGACAAAGCAATTAAGAACAACAATTCCTTCCAGGGGAAGAGTCTGGGATGCCCAAAAGAGGCATGCATGGGTGGCAAAGCAATGGTACTGCTAACTGCGGGAAGTCTATGCAAGGAGGACAAATTGTAACTGGTACGTGTGGATCCTTCCTTGGTAGTATTACTCAAGAGGAGGTTTCTATGAGAATTGTCGTGTTTTGTAGTGCTCCCAGAAGTCAAAGAAGGAGAAATGGGAAAGAGTTGAAAAGGGACAAAAGGTGGAAGAATCCTGGGAAGGGCAAGAAAGAAGGCCAGAAAGAAAACAACCCTTGTAGCTCACCCTAAGAAGGGCACATGACAAAAGCTACAACAGAAATTACCAGTAGGAAGGGATACTCTTCTTTCCCTTTTAGTTATTTGTGTGTGTGTGTGTGTGTGTGTTTTGGGTGTTTTGGTTTTGTTTTTCTGTTTTTGTTTGTTTGTTTGGTTGGTTGGTTTGTTTGTTTTTTGTTTGGTTTTTTTTTTTTTTTTTTTTTTTAATTAGTTCAAAAGGCTGGCAGGAACATGAGGCAAACTGTTATTTGTGTAGTGGGGAAGAGATATATATGAGGACATCTGTTTGAAGGAGCTGTTTCAAAAATAACCATAGGAGAGGGGTGTGTTTGCAGAGCACAGCAGGCAACCTGCAGAGCAGTAGAAAGACAGCAGTGGTGCTCTGAGTGCAGACAGCCCCACAGGGCTGCAGGACTGTGCACATTTGTACTCACTGCCAAACCACCCCACCCTGACAGCAGTGTTTTACAAATTGAAGGTGGTGCTGTTTCCATATTTTCTGCCCAAGAGAATTGATCCCTCTTCCGTTGCACTCTTTTTTTTCCTAAAGTCAGCAGCTTTTAAATTCCAGTTTCAAGTAATTTAAAGAATAAGCCTGTTTCATTGAATATCCAAAACGTATGGCAGAGGAATGCAGATTTGTATACTACTCCATCCCAAAGATGAGGCCCTGTTCACCTGGAAAAAAGGAAAAGCAGACTGAGAGACTTTGAAGCAGGATGCTCATGTCTAGCATTCTGCCCTAGCCTCTTACTGACTGCTGAGTACAGGAACAGGCAGCAAACCTGGCCACTGATTTACTGAGATGCTGTGAGGAAGTCCATTACAGTTTACCAGTTTCTTCAGCTTCCTAGTGAGTAAAACAGAATTAAAATGCACAACTTTTCTGCTCATTTTCCTTCTAATGTCTGTGATTTCAGACAGGTCTGAAAGCATTGTGGTGTAGGATTCACTACAAACATCAGGTGTGATCCATCAGCGAAAGGAGAGGGTCAAAGTCAGATGGCATGAGGCAGCCATCCCACTGGGGAACACAATGTTGCAGGCACCGGGCAGTTAATTTCTCCTGATAGCCAGGTGAGAGAGCATGTTTGGGAAAGACCAGATGAAAAATGAGCAGAATTGCTCATTGGGAGATTTAAGCTCTCCATGGCCAAACATTCCTTAGAACAGAACTCTGACAAAACATTAATGATGAATTTTCATCCCTATCTACTTTCCAGTTGTTGGTAGGAGAATCAATGGCAAATATCACTTCAAAGTAGCAACCAGATATGTGCCTCCTGCTCTTTTAGCTCTCCACTGTAGGTAATAGAAACATTACACAGGTAGAAGTGAGTTTGAGACATAGTGGATGATATCACTCTAGTAGGAAACAGCTGTATTTCTTTTCTACACTAGTGGCTGTCAGCAAGTAACACCGACTGAGTTGACTTCAGATATCCCCTACCTCAAGGGAAGCATTATCCTCTGTACTCCCTCCAGTACTGTGTTTTCTGATAAAGAACAAATGTGTCTGCTAAAGTCAGTTCATGCTGCAGTAACTACATAGAACGAATCTTTTTTTTCAGTTACAAAAATTCTCACAGCACAAAGTAACTATTTGCAGTTTCACGGAATTATTCCATCTTTACCTGGCTATGCCTGTTGGAACCATGACTACCTTGGCCAGTGTTTTGTAGCTGAGTATAATCTGCAATCCAGTTTCATGTGTATGTAAGCCAAGAACGGGATGTGCTTTGGACAAAATCTGATATTTCAGAAGAGTTTAGTAGCAGTCAAAATAGCTTGGAGTAAAATGTAGCAACAAGGAATTTAATATCATGCTGTTACTCCATAGGTTAACCAACATAGATGGAAATCAATTGCTTGTCACTATGTAAGACAGGCAGTATCTTTAATCTTGGTTGTTGTAAGTAAAACACATCCATGGCTGAGTAAACAGATAATTGGGTTTATGTTTTTACTGAGGTCTGATTCACATTGAAACTAATGGTCATTTAATGTCCAGAATGCTTAGGCTATCCCACTGGATACCTCTTTGTGCCTAATCAAGTTGCATACGAGGCCCACAGGACTTGAATATGACTGCTTTCAAGGAGACATGGGCTTCTAAGCACCGAGATCACTTTTGGAATGGGAGCTCTGGCATACTGGGCTGAATACTGAGAGGTATTCAGGCATAGACATTGTATGGTTTTTATTCTTTCCTTAAAGTATTTAATGGTTTACTATTTTGATGTCACTTCAGGCCTTGCCAAGATTAAGCTGCTTCTATTAGTTTGTAACCATATAGAAAAAATAAAACAGTTCACTCACAATAATTTGGGCAGATAAGTGTTTTATCCCAGCTTGGACTAAGCACATGGCTTGCTTTGTGTAGCTGTTTGATTGCTTCATTCTTGTTTCAGTTGCAACAATTTGGCTTGCACCTCTCTTTTCCTTGTTTGAAGTGGGACCCGAGTGCATCGTGCCATTCTGTTGTACACATCCTCTGGACGTGCCGTTCTCTGCTATGACACTATAGAAAACTGCCCCAAATTTTCCCTGAATACTGCTCTACAGGTGCAGGCGAGGTGGCAAGTGCAAGCTTGTGAGGACTCAGGTGTATTCTGAAGAGGCTGTCTGAATTAGCACCGTAAGCATGCAGCTGGAAAGAGGTGTACCTCTGTCCTGTACAACACTGACTGCAGGCTCTTCCTTGCCGACCCAGCAAAGCTGACCTTGCGTTTGCTCCAGTCAATCCTTCTGCCAACCTTTCTCCCAATCTGGCTGCAGGGTCCTGTGCCTTTTAGCTCGCTCCCTAGATGTGTCACTGCTGCCGAGTCCTGCACCTATCAACATTTGGGAAACGTCCCTTTCTCCCTCCGCGGAGCACACGGAGGCCCCGGGAGCATCCCCACGGAAGGCAGGCTGCGCACCAGCGCAATTTGCCACTAGATGGCTGGACGTCCCTTTTGTTCCCAGCTCAGAGAGACTGCTTAAAGCAGAACAATGGCCTCGTTGTAAGCTCTCTGCCCACCCTCTTTATAGCTTAACATTTTGAAACAGCTGATGCTTTTAGCATATTTACCTTTATGAGGAACAGTTCAAACTTTTCATACATACTGGAAGAACTATGCTAATATCTAAGAAAATTACTGATGTTTTGCAAGACAAAAAGAAAAAGCTTCTTACTCCTATTCTTTTTTCCATTATATTACACATATAATATGACTTTCATTGAGTCTTTTATTTGTGTATTTGTGTATGCATAAGTGTAACACATCACTCAGACTGGAATATAGCATGACAAAGTCCAGAGAAGTCACGACATAGCAGCCAGGTATTTCAGTCTGGTGAATTTGGCAACGTAAAATTTGTAAAACTTTTAGACACTGACATTTATGTCATTGTAATTTGGGGTGAAAATGTCTGTCCTGAGCAAAATTAGCTTTCCTTTAAGAAACATTATTTTGCTCACAGTCAGTCTCTTCAAAAAGGTTAATACTTGTGGGGGAAAAACATCAACTTTCCTGGTGACTGGTAGACTGATAGCTTATACAGAGCAAGGAGGCCTATTTCAAAAGGCAGATTTCTCCTGCCTGAAAACAGACATGAATAGATAAAGTATACATCTGTTTCTTGAAGATACCATTTTCTTTTTCCTTATCAGTCTTTTCTTCACATTTTCAGATCCATTATTTCTATTTACTGGGTCCACATTGTGCGTTTATAGATATATTTGTATCCTTGAGTTCAAAACAACAGAGAGATAATAAATTTTTAAATTAAAATTACTTTATTTGTTTTTCTATCGCAACGCTAGCATTTTGTGCTTGCCACTTGCAGGAACAAGGAGGAGACATAGTTCCTGCCTCCAAGGTAGTATAATCTAAAATATCAAACCTGGAAATCTCAGGGCACTTTAACAGCTTTGTGAGAGGCTGAAGATATGCTGAAGATGTGCCTAAATATGTTGGTACATGAAATGGTAAGATGGAGATGAATCTAGAAATAGGTCTGGGGTGGGACTTCTTTTATTTTCCGAATATTGTCTCAGGTATCAGTCACTCAGTTCAATTTTCTTAAAGCACTGTGACAGCAAAAAAAGCTGATGGTATAATTAGTGTGGTAGAAGAAGAGCAGGAAATTAAAATGAACTCCACCCATCTGAACTCACAGAGAAATATAGGTAGTGAAGCATACAGCAAATGACAAGTCTCTGAAAAAATAGAGACTTCAAAAGTAATTGTTCAACCCAACAAGAATATTGGTGGCTACTCTGTTCTCATCTGCAGGAAGGTTTCTGGTTTTGCTGATGTAACAGGAGAGAGTAAGACTTGGAAATTTCCACTTACTCGACTTGCAAACAAGTAAATTGTATATTTTTCTGAAGTGGCTTCCTTTCAAAGGTGCCTGAAAGGTAATATGTGCAGGTTATTTATGAAGTGTAATCTTGCACTTAGAAGTAGTCCAGAAACAAAGTCTGGACCCAGTTTACTTGCTCTTTGAGCTCTTCAAAATACTGGAGTGCCCAAGTAAGTAGAGGAATCGTGTGGCTAGCTTGAGTCTTATCTTCTGCTACTTGATCCTGTCACAAATGGCATGCTATTGCTGAGCACAGAGGACTATCTGCCAAAGATGTAGCACAGGCATCGTGTATTCCTCCCATGGGAAGTAAAAAGCCCTAACAACACAGCACGGTTTTCTAATGACTCTAGTACTGCTATTTTATCCCTTCTGGGAATGTTTTAAAAAAATGTATTTTATTTACCTTGTTCCTAACCAGGTCCACTGATATAAACTATACTGAAATTGCTGTAAAATACCTGTTCACTGGTGCTGTTAAAAGCACTATGTTTGTTGTGGCAGCTGTCTTTGCATAACATCTGAGAATCAAGTGTCACTACCAAAGGTAAAGGAAACTCTGGTATCTTTGATCCTGCTATGTGGTAACTGTTATCTGATGTGAATAGAGAATGTGTACATGAAGAACCAGACACAAAATTGTGAGGAAATCAGGTCAGACATACCAACCACCTTCCCTGGGGATAAACAGCTCCCTTGCAGAACTCTTGCAGAGCCCTAATAAACTGTTAGAGGCCCTGGATACACTCTGCCATGTAGTCTGACAGACAGGAGACACTGGTGTCACAGCAAAGATGGCAGCCCTTTTGCCACTGGTATTGCCATAGTTCAAATGAGCAAGCATGTTCCTGACAGAGGTTAGGAGGTGCACTGCAGATCTGGGCCCTCCTCCAGCAGGTGCCTTGAGCACCTCATCACTCTCCCCAGGGGGTTTTGGATCAACTCTCTGCTGTGAAGGCAATGACGTAGAGTCCCTTCAGATCACAGCATCTCTACAGCCATTTGAATCAAAAAACAATGGAAAAAGAGTTGCTTAGATTTAAAATGAAAGCTTCTTGCCAAGTCAGCTTTTCCCACTGTTCCCAGCAAGATGATCTAAGGTCCTGCCTGCACAGAGGTCTGGGGCCTGAACTCTCAACCAGAATAGCCAAACATCTACTCGATCACCTTTTAGCTCAACTCTTGGTCAGGCCACAGCTGAAAGCTTTTCTAAAAGTTGGACTCTGAGATTAATTGGTCTGCTAGCCTCCCCTCCCTTCATTCTGGCCGCAATTTACATTTAAAGCCTACAACAACCAGATTTGCAGTCTTGTGCTCTCTCTTTTTAT